TCTTCCCTGATGGCGAGCACGGGACGACCTGGCTGTGCGATCACTACCCACAAGTTCTAAATCGTTTCCTACTGGTGCATGCCCACAAACCCGGGGAGGACCTGGTGGTGCGCGACCTCTAGTACTCTTTAAATGGTTGCCATTATTTGCCCAGAATTCTGTTTTTACCACATTGAAAAATAAATCACATTAAAAACAATTTAATTCTGCTGATGTGCAGGTCTTGCCCAAAGATTATTTTACAGTCAACGATGAGTGGTCAAAATCTCATTGTTGCTACTGAAGTTTGTGAATAAGAAATGGGATTCAGAGAAATGTGTGTTCAAACATTGACTCCGCCTCCTGGTAGACTGCTGTCGAGAGCGAACCCAAGGCTGATGAAGCTGGCCACTCAACAGGCACACAGTTGCGGTACAGACAGCCACTTCCGCTTTCGTTCGAGCCGTGCTTGCCGTTAAAGTGTGCCCCATAAACATCATCACTAACGGAGCAGTGAACGACGCTTTGGCAACCCTCATGGGGAGTTTTAAGGAGGACTCCAGACAGAAATTGAACAAGCCATTGTACGGGCCGAGGGAAGCCCTGAACAATTTCGCGATTTAAGTTAGTGTTGACCATTCCACCGGTAACCAGGCAGTAGATGTCAAAAGGCCTATCACTACCAGTGCCGCAGCGTGTACATAACTCCCGGATGTAGAGGTTCAACGCTTGCTTGGAGTTGGCATACGATTGTTGGGCTGTCCAACCACTCTCGGCTGCAGCCAGGATGCTTTTTTTGCCGTGCAGCTTCAGATTGCCTCGTGAAGCGAGAGCAGAGCTTACGAATATTAGCCGCGGTCTGAAGCCTGTCTTTCTGGGTAGGTCTTTTTTGAGTTGAGGAAAGACCAACTTGCAAAGGAAGAAGCATCCCAGAAAATTTGTCATCATGTTCGTGTCTAGCGTCGGAAAGCTTTTAGAAGGAGTACGCTTAGCAGACATTATCCCGGCATTGTTAATAAGGATGTCAAAGTGAGGCAGGTCCTGTGTAAATTCTCTGATGCAATGAGGGTCCTCAAGGTCAAGCTTCTTTACGGTTACTTTCGAATTCCCAGTGTCAGCGGCCAACCTCTTGCGAACTGATTCTCCGCGTTCTATGTCTCTAGAGGAGATGTATAAATATCCAAAGGCACTTACCTGCAGGCTAAGAGGAGTGACCAGTTGCGACGTGCTAGTTCACGAGCGGTGGCAAGACCAATACCCGATGTAGCACCAGTTATGATAGCTTTCTTCGGACTGGCAGACACGCAGTCACAAAAGGTGGCTTTTGGGTGCAGTAGTCGCCGTAACATGATAAGAGAAAGTCCAGCGACAGACGCAAAACCAAGAGATATAAAGGTCCAGCTAACCATAAGCAGTTACAGTAACCGGACCGTGGACTTGGTTATGGTCACTTCCTGTGTCACGTCTGCAAGAGATGGGCCGGCGGTCAGAAACTGATATACCTCGGACCACTGAGCATGAAAAGCTGCAGAAAACGAGGATAGGAACCCCGCAATCATTGTCTACCACTATGTATGTAGTCGTTTTCAAAATACTCTCCCCCGGACGTCTGATTGGGACTAACTAGCAGGGGGGAGGCTGACTCAGTTACCGAAGTTGGAGAAGAGTCAGGGCAGGGCTGTCCGGAGGAATGCCCAGTCGAAGATGGCGAAAAAGTGCACCTGCGCGCACTTGACGGGACAGCAGAACTGCGTTCGTTTCATCCACCCATGCCTGATTACCCAGTTTTTCATTCTAACCGGCCTAAGTAAGCTCGACATTCCGTGAAATTGCCGGTCGCGCGGTATGCGGACTAACAAGCGGGGCTGCAAGCGGGGCAGGCAGGTGTAAGTTATGACGAGCCTGCTTACAGGCTGGCTCGCTTGACCCCCGGTATGCACTGTTAGTCGAGGATGCATAATTTGTACATCGCGCATTTCTACCAAGATGTCGGGTGAGCGGACGTGTAGTGCGACCCTGCCACCGTGCGGACGCTGTGCCGCTATCAAGAACTGTAAAAAATCTACAGAGCATGTGGGCTTCGAACCTAGATGAATTCTTTGTGCTGGGTGAGGGGCATTGGATTGCGAATGAAATGGCAGCGACCGGCAGGTATGATCATGATCATAGCGGAGTGCGTGTCGCCGATCATCCGCGGTTCTCGAATTTCGTAGACGTTTAGGGGCAAGACCAAGCCAAAACAACCGCCAACGATTCGGAGTACTGACTCCCTAGTAGCAATAGGTATCGAATACATATACGTGAACAGCGATTTATCGAGATATGCATGTCTGTCATGCAATTGGATACTTCGTTCATGCAATCTGCCATTTCATTGGTTGCCGTCCTTTAGTCGCATTCTGATTGCGCGCACACGCGGGCCCGCCATTATTTTGCGTGAGCGGCGTGTAACGCGTGCCGTGACACTCCTTGCACTTACCTGTCATTATTGATTTATACCT